CTATTTTTTTCAAGAAAAAAAAATTTTTGATTCAATTATTGGTTCAGTTTTTATTTCTTTTGTTTTTGATCAGTAGTTATAACGCAAATATTTAAAATTGTACTTTGACTCATAAAGTTTAGCATCATCACAGACCGGAGCTGCTTTCAATGCGCGCTCGCTCCAGCCATTCAATTAAAACTCGCGCACTGCATCATTGAGATTGCCAAACAAACTAACCACTGCACGTTTACTATATGGTTTCGGCATCACGGTTATGTGCATAATCCAAACATTGCTTTACAATTATTTTCGATTGTTTGTGTCAATATAAATTACCTAAATAAACATGCCCTGAATTTCAACAACCCAGATAACTTCTGTAATTTTATAGTCTGTGATTAGTTATAAAAGTTATTAATTTTTAACACTGAGAAAAACAAAAATTATATTTTATAAAAATATATTTTATATATTTTTGCGTCAAAAAAATTTTTTTAATAAAATCAGTGTAGCGATAAATAGTTTTCAACAAATTTTGGTGAATTTTTAAATTATCAAAAATTATTAATTTATTTTTTAATAAAACAATACAATTTTAATTGTGCTTAGAAAAATAAATAATATTTTTTTTTAAGTAGCAAAGCGGTAGAAAAACTTATAATTAAAATTTAAAACAAAAAATTAAATTAAAATGGTCGGATGTTAAAAAAAGAAAACAATGGCAAGAAGAGCCCGGTTCGAGCCCAAGCGAGGAAATATTATTCGTAGGAACAAAATTTTCTTAAGTACTTTGAAAACTTTTTAAAAACTCGGTATTAAACCGGTTTTCTTTAATGAATAACTGACTTAAAAAGAAACCATCATTGTAATGATATTAAAAGACAATTAAACTCCAACAAGTAGTCGGTATGGAAGTAGCTTTAAAAACCGCGATGACAAGTATCTATGATTGTTGAAGCAAGTTGTTAAAGTTACTATTAAAGTACCCAGCTCACCGAATGGGAATAGCAATAATGGTAAGGAAAAGGGAAGGAATGCCGTGCACTTTCATCCACCACTTTTCACCAAGTTTTATTCCTATTCATTAAACATCCACTTTTCACCATCTTTCCTATCCCTGTTCCTTAGTGCAGGGACCCCCTTTTCTTCTCGTCTATTCTATTCTATTCTTCATCACTTCCATGTGCCCGAGTAGTATGGAGGCTGTGCCAAAAGTTTGTAACAATTCACGGGGGCTAAATGCGGCAGACTAAGCCCGACATTTCTTAGGTAATTAAACTTTTACGAAACACTATAAGAACGACAGTCAGTCTTCTCTCTCCTCTTTGTCGAACAAAAGAGAAAAAGTAAAAAAGTACCGCTGAAATAAAAAAGTACACGAAAAAAAGTAAATATATTTCAAAGTTTTTCCTTAATTTCATTTTATTTTTATTTTTTATATGTCACACTTACTTGCACAATTTTCCCGCAGAACACTGTTTGGTACCTTCAACTAACAAAGTACATTAGCTAAAAAAAAAAAAAAGAAGAAAATTAATAAAAGGGAAATTTAATTATAGGATTAAAATTAACATCCCGGTTTTTTTCCGAGAAAAAATATTTTTATTTCACTTCTCAGTTAAATGTGACGAATAAATATTGATTTTTTTTTTTAAATGCATCATATTGTATTAATATACTTATGCATGTTAACAGTTTATAGAGAAATATATAAATTCCAGCATTTAGTTTTCCAGTGGGAACTCTGGATGTTATTTAGCGGGAACTAAGGAAAATCCTCGGAATATTTCGTAATTACAAATCTCATTAAAATCGCAGGCATGATCTGCAGAGAAGCCATTAGCGAAAAAGCTTTTCCCCTGTTATTTTAACCGTCATACATATTATTACATAAATTATAAAATAAATATGCACTTGCATATATAATATTTATGTGAACACTACAATACCGGACATAATATTATAAAATTTATAATTATAAATAAAATTTTTAACAAATAAAAATTATTTTTTTTTTATCCTACATTAGTAATAATAATAATAAATAATGTCAGTAAGTAAGAATTTACATGAAAGAAAAAACTTTTGATAGTTCAAACCCGATTAAATTTCTTCATTCGTTTTATTTCCATATCATATTTTTCATTTTTTCCTCTTTGCGTGACTCTACCCCTGACAGCGGGCCAGAGTCTTTTATCACCGAAACTCGCAATCTACGAGAAAGTCAGCGAAGTGAGTTAGTAAGTCTTTTACCTTGCACTTTGCAGTCTTCCGAAAGAAAATTTAGTTTTCTCGACAAGTTCTCCGTCGTCATTTGCCACAGGAAAAAAAGCATTATGTAAGCCCCGCTCAACTATGAGATGAAAAGTGAATCACTGACAGCGGGCTTTGCTTTTTTAAACCAAGGATAAGGGTAAGGGTTATTACAAAGCTCTACTATAAAAAAATTCCTTCAAGAGCTTTGTCACTCTAATCCCTTCACTGGCCAAAAAAAAAATATAAATATAATAAATGGTTAAGTATGAGTATCGAAAAAAATAACAAATTTGAAATTGCTCGTGGCATATTGTTTCACTCTGCTGGATACCTTGAATTTTACGACGACACTTGCGCTTCCGTGTTTATCGTCTCAATCTTTTTATGACCAAAAAGACCGAGTGCATTATAAAATATTGAGCCTGTGTTAAGCTTAACATATTCAAAGACAGAAAATACAACAAAAAAAACAGTTTCTTGTTTTTAAGATTATTTTTTTTCGTATAAATTTTTTGCAAGGTATAATATTTTGTGTTTTATGATAAATTTAATTTTTATGAAAATTTAGAGCTTGAAAATGTAAAATAATTTGAGAAATTACAGAGTAATAATAATAATACACATTTCTATTGTCAACTTGGGTGAATTGAAGCTTACAAACATTGAGCGGAATATCTTTTGAGAGCTTTAATTTCGTGGTTAGAATTAGTATGATAAAGAAATAAAAATTATTGAATTTTGAGGTTCATTTTTCACTGAATAAATTTTGTTTTTGGCGAATAAAAATGATATTTTAAATCATCATTAATTCGTAAGAATCTAAAATCATTTAATTTGAACTAAACATTGAAAAAGTATCATAAATTATTTCGAGACGCTACCCACAATGGTAATAAAATTTTTTGTAAGAATGAATTTTATTCAATAGATAAGAAATTAACTTGATTTAAAAGAAATAAAAATTAACTTGAAACAAGAGAAAAATTCCTGAACTTAGAAAATTATTTTGAAGAGCTTCATCGTCTTGATTTAAATAAAAAAATTGTCTAATCAAGTAAAATTTACTTGAACCAAGAAAAATTTCTGAGATGAAGAATTTTCTTACTCAAATCAAGACGATAAAACTCTTCAGAATAATTTTCTCGATTCAAGAATTTCTCTCATGAATCAAGTTTTTTTTTTTTCAATGCATAATAATGTTGCTTAGGATCAAATAATAGCATTACGAAAGTTATTGCCTTTCGCTAAAGAATCTTTAAATAAAATTTGCACATAAAACATGTAATATACTATTATGCGTACATAACTTTTCTTCAATACACTTAAGTACATCCCGAGAATTTCATGAACATTTGCATCCTCTTCGTATCCTTTTGTGTACATAAGAATGCAATGAAAAAGTACTTTGCGTATTTCATAGATAAAAATCCACGTACAGACAGAGAGCCGTTTCGCAATATTCTTATCTTAACGTATTTGCCTTTGCGCTCACTTATCAAAACGTAACTGCACTAGAGTTTTGGCATTTTCCATCATCATACACTCAGCCCCGTCCTCGTTCCCGCGATGAGAATCTTTTTCCATGAATTCACAAGCTCAGCCGAAGCACTTTTGTTAAAATAACGAAGACCGTTGTGTCAAGAGCTAGAACGTGCACAAAATCCGTTTGAAAATTTGTCACATAAATTTCAGCCTCATAATATACATTTTATAAATACATAATATATGCGTCGCGTATATAGTTTCCTAGAGAGGTTCAGCGAGAAAAAAATCCGATGAAATTGTACAAGACATAAAGAAATGTGAGTGATACTTGAAATAAGTTTAAGTTACAGAATATTTTTTTAATCTCAAAAGAATTCCACTCGACCTCGTTCCTCGTTAGGCGATATTATTCTACGTGCGGAAATTGAAAATTCTAACGTCGAAATGAAAATAAAACTTGCTTGCGGATAAACAAAAAATAAAAATCAACACATGATTTGGAATACTGAGCGGCAAGATGAGCATCAATATCGAGGGCAACTTTAACGAAAAGTAGCTGGAACAGGAAAAAAATTACTGAAAACGAAAAAATAAGTAGAGCTGAAAAAAATGAGTCCAATGTAAAGAGCAACCCTCTTACAACTTCTTTATAGCTTCTATTTCTTTGAAAGTGAAACACTTTTCGTTATTACCAATATACTATCGAGGTTATAAAAAAAATAATAATAATAATAATAATAATAATAAAGGATAAATAAAAATAAAAATAGAGAACCCGATGTCGATTTCCAATGATCAACTTCCTTTGGTACGAAAAGCCTCGCCCGTACTATACAATTTTTTTTTCTTGTTCTTCTTCTCGCTCACCTTATACTATATAACCTTATTATTTCTTAATCTTTTTTCTTTATTTTGACTTCCTCCGAGCGTTTTCTTTCTTCATAAAATCGATTTGCGGCGATGATGGCGTCTCGTATAAGCTTAAACTTTCATCAGATTACCCAACTTTGCACTCCATAAATACTTTCAGATACTCAAAGAATCATCTCATAAATGTTTTCAAAAGTTTCCGACGCTTTTATAAAACTCAACGGTGACAACAAAGACAACCAGGCTCGAGGAGTAATATATTAAATAGATCTCACGTCACATCAAGTCCTTAATGGTCTAAAAAAAAATCCAAAGATTAATTTTGAACATAAATTTAAAAAAAAAATAAACGATAAATAATAAATCAATTGCAGGGTGTCGAATTATTTTTGAGAAAAAAAAACTGAATGACCGCGGATTTTTTCCCGTTGCAGAGCTTACCGCAGACTCCGGCCGGAGGCGTGGGTGGAAAGGGACTGGGAAGTGGATGTGGCGCCGGCACAGGTCCTGGAATGGTCAACGGTGCTGCCGTCGACCATCAGGACATTCGGGACGGCGTTGCTATAAACACGGAACACGTAAGTGCCCTCTTCCTTTAACCGAGAAGCCCTTGTCTTTTAACGGTCAACACATTTACAAATAATACCCTTACTATTGCTATTATTATTATTTTTTTTTTATTATTATTACTACAACCAGAGCCCAGAGGTCTTTGTTCGCCTGAATATTCATCGTGTCGGGGCTTCTATTCCGGAAATTACCTACAATACTCGTTGTGATTTTATGTCATTTGCTAACCGGCGTTTGCCATTTGCTTTTGTGCTTACATCGTACCTACACTAACTCTTTAACTCTTTATCGTTTGACTTTACTTCTACTCTAAAACTGTAATTACTTTTTTGTGCAACTTGTTGGTTAACATCTGAATTATGTTCAAGGTTAATTGGACATTATTATAATTTTAAGATGAAAAAATGAATTTTTGATACGTTATTAACCGATTTTTAATACATATACTGAAAAAAAAAATTGATTTGATCCAAATGCAAAATTTATCTCAAAAATCAATTTTTTTTCGGTATACGAAATAATTTTTTGGAAAAAATCTGACCAAGAATATTTTTGAACACTTAATTCGTCAAAAATTTTATACACTAGACAAAAAGAAAAATTTCTTGACTGAAGAACGAAATTCTTGGCTCAAAAAAATTTTCGAGTGCCTGAAGGAAGGCCGAAGTAAAAATTTTTCTTGAAATTCTATTCTTGGTAGAAGTAATTTTTTCTTAATTCAAATTATCATAAATACTTGATACAATAAATTTTTATATTTGATCAAGATTATTAAATACTTTAGGGAAACAGCGCTACCTACTTCAGCTGAGAAAAAAATTTTCTCACCTTGAGAAAATTTTTCTCTCGAATATTTGATACCCATTTTATATTATTTTAGCGTGCAATTATACATATTGAATGAAAAAAAAATGATTCAATATTATTTGATTTTCCCATTTGACATGTTGATCAAAAAAAATATTAATGAAAATTTTCTTATATCGAGATATTTAATTTTTTGGAGCATGAAAGAAATTTTCTCTAGACAAGAAAATTTACTTCTATCAACAACTAAATTTTTTGGAGCAAGAGGCTGAAGTTTCTCAAAACAAGAAGATTTCTTGACATAAATAAATTTTCTTAAAGCAAGAGAATTAATTTTATCGGAATAAGTGAAATTTCTTGTGTCAAAAAAAATTGTGTAACTTTACTTTTTTTAGATTATGTTAAAACAAAAAAAAAATTCAAACGGAGAATTTTATCAATTTCTTAATAAAAAAAAATTTTATTCACAAAACAATCATGAGTAAAAAATAGTTACCAATAGCTTCTGAGAGAGGCAGCACTAGCGAGTGAAAAAGAAAGCAATAGCATAAACTATACCTCTAGTCCGAGCCACCTTAAACTACAACTATTTGATAGTACTTATAAACTTATCGATCGATAAATACCAGAGTAAAATGAAGATATTGCATGAACATTCCTCTTTTTTCGTTAACCGAAGAGTTATCTTAACCCAGACATCCGTCGAGGGTTAAAACTCAATAACAAATTGGAATGTCCGGAAAAGCATCAGTATTAGTCGTTATTTTTAGTAAACTTAACATTCTTGACTTTTTCGTCTTGAAATATTGGGATTCCGTAGAGTGGTATAAAACAAAAAAGTACCTGGCTTATTTGAATATTTAAAGAAAAAAGAGTTGGTTTATTTTTGGAATGGCTATTGAACGGAGTTAAATCCTCCGGGAATACGATACGCGATGCATGAAATATGTATCGCGGAATAATAATTATTGTGCATTGATGACAGACTGGAGTTTGTACTCACTGTACGGATGTTATGGCTTGATATTCGTCTGCACGTACAAAGTTCCGATAAGAACTGTATGTAGATATGCTTTAGAATTCCAGCTCAACATACTATTGTATACATAGTGCATATGATATGATATACCTGATATATAAATCTGTATTCAAGTATCGACACAATGTACAAAATGTTTAACGCACAAATTCCAATGAGACTATGACTATCAATGATTAATTAATAGTCCCTGCCCTGGGCTGGCCGACGGTCTGTCTAGCTGCGAAATCGATTTCACGTCTCATGCAGAGCAACGGTACGTAAACAGTACTTGTGCTAGTGCGGGAAGTCGAGTACCCGGTATCGGTATCGAATCGTTGGCTCCCATGAAACACGAATTTGCATCTAAATTTTGTACTTTATACTTTTAAATGTGGAAAAAAAATATTAATATACATTTAAAAAAGCTCTTTGTATTCATATTCATAAATATCGATGTCGTTATCGGGGTGATAAAATCCTCCGGGCAATAATCGTACCGAGAGAATTAATATTTAAAAATAATAAATTTCTTTCGGAATAATTGGGTCGTATAAAAATTGCAATTAAATTATAAATTTATAATTAATATGAAAAGGTGAATTACTTATTCATAATAATGAAAAAAAATTTTAATTAATATTTATTATTATTATTAGAGTGGAAGAAAATACAAAAAAAATAAAAATATAATTATCTTCTGACATAAAATAATTAATTTTCGATTATGATTAAGGAGATATTATATCAGCAATAAAACTTTTTTAATAATAATAGGAAAAATTTTATTATTATAAGTGTCATTATTAATTATTATGGTTATTGAAAGTTAAAAGTTGAATTAATTTTTGGTTGAATAATTTAACAGAGGCATTGTTCTCACAAAATTAAAACTTCTATCAGTTTTAAATTGAGTTATGGACTCTGAAGATAGGTACTTGGTGAAAAGTGAGCGCTACCGCGGCCCAGTCCTCAGGATTGAGATTGAAATGCTGAAAAGGGGCAAAAAATTCTGGGTACGGTAAATTAAAAGAGAGAATGAACAGAGGAAAAAGAACCGAGAGAGAGGGATGATGGTCACTGGGATAGATGAACTAACACCAATCGCCTGCACTCGTTTTCGCTGTGATAAACGTTCAGTGCTAACAAATGTTTTTTTCTTTTTGGTTTTTTTTTTTCAATTTCATTATTTATCTACTTTGAAAAGGGAGTTACGTACATACTTTTTTAATTACACTTGCATTTTTAATTGATTGGACATTTTAGTATTATTTCTTTTAATTTATTTATATTTTAACAAAAAAAATCAACTTAAAAATTGGCTCAAAAATTTTATAATTAAAATTTTGAATAATTTGAACAATAACTAAAATTGTAATTAATTTTTCTCTATTAAATAAATGTATGGAATATTTTTTTTAAATTTAATTCTCCTCAAAAAAAATTTTACAATATCAAAAAATTGTAAATTAATTTATAAAAGTGCAGTTTTTAATTTCTTTGATACCTCTCGATCAAAAATCAAAACTTCCTTTCATGATACCGGCCCCCAGCTCTGAAATTATAACACCTCGGACTCCAAACGAAAACTAATTAAAATTTGAGTTAAAACAGGGTTTTATATAATTAAAATGTGTTTTCAACTACATCAGCGTGCATCACGAATTAATTTACGTAAAGTTAACGTCACGTGATGTGCCGGGTCCAGGAGTATAGTTGGGTCATCCAAACCCCTTTAAATGCAGACAGGCGACTCATAATTACCTTGGACCACGGATCGAAATGCCATGCCACGCTCTGGTAAACATGATTCCAGAGCCATTGAACGAGGCATGGCTCCTCGTTCAACACACATACATACCTCCACACTGAACACATTCAAACGTCCGGAGATATTATGAGACGCGTCCAACAAGATGTTGTAAACGTTATATTGCCAGTCTGACCAGACACCATCTCCACCTCTTGCCCTTTTTCCTACCTAATTATCTCTGACTTTATCTTTCACACTGCCCTCATTCGCCCTGTCCACTTTTTAATCTTTCATCAACTCGGTAAATAATCTACAGGTAATCAAAAGGGTCAAATGTTAATTGCGCTCTTTAAATTCTATTTTTACAGATAGTGTTAATCAAATAATTATTTTAATCCGTTTATCTGCTCCTTTTTAGCGACTGACTATATTTTATTATTTAAATAAAAATTGATTATATTAAAATTAACAGACACCCGACAATTTTTATAATAATTAAAATATTATTAAAAAAATTTTCAGATATCTTCTAATTTAACTAATATATAAATTACTGCCGCTCGATCTTAAAAAATAAATCATTAATCCACTTAATGAAAGTGTCTGTAAGCTCTAAGCCTCACGCTAAATTATAGAGACTAATTACCTCAACCTTAATCCTCCCTTAATTGATCCATTGATCTCTTTTCAAGACTCTTACAGACTCTAGATCCTCTGTGAATAATTTACCATGGAAAATTATAAATATTTAAGAACGGACTTACCTGTCAGCAACTAAGAACAGAGTTAATAAATTACAGTATATATAATAATTATCTTACCGCAAAAATCTCTATTTTAATAAAAAGCAATACTTGCTAAAAAAAACATATAAATTGAAATAAAATTTTTTATATAAAATATTTTATTAATATACCGGTACTCAATATATTTACCCCCGGCGGATTCTGATTAAATTTAACACACTCCTATAATCAACACCGGTAGCTTAACTTATTTCGTAGCTCCATTACACACACCCTGCTCGCAAAATTACTCTCAAGTTCTCAACATTTTTGAATGTTATTCAAGCATGCTCACATGAAATTACCAACAATAGCATAGTACAAGAGAACTCGAACAGAATTAAACCAATAAGCCTTATTATGCCGAATTTGAAACACTCAAACTTTAATCTTCATGTTTAATTTTTATCCATTACATACTTATGCTTATAAATTATTACATTCTATGCTAATACGGCTTTACAGTTTCAAACATTAACAAATTTTGCACTACTCATTTTACAAAAATATAATACCAAAATTTCATGCTTAAAAACATTTTTATTTAAAATTAATAATAACACTTCAGTACTGATGAGTTTATTTGTAAATAATTAATTAGTTTTTTTAACTGGTTATAAATCATTTTTGAATATAAAATAATTCAATAAACATTTATAAATATAGTTAATTAATCATTTATCAAACACAAAATAAAAACTGCTATTAAACATTAAAAAAAAATTGCTAATTATTAATGAATTCATAAACAAATTTATTTATTGACCGTAAATAAATAACTCAATCTGTAAACAAAAATTCAAAAAAATGATCACTGCAATATTATTTTAACGTTTACAAAATCTCTCTTTGTTGTTCACAATTACAGAATCGAATTCTGTGATAACAACCCGCGAAAAAATTCAAACCACGCAAAATTCGCCCTACAAAGTCGAAGCTTTGCAAGAGGTCATGCGACACCGAAAACAATATATTGTATTAACACCGCCACTCGATACAATGAATGTTTCATGGAGTTTTTCGCGAACAGCAGTAAAGCCACAGGGAAAATGTGAAACAAAAAATCTAATAAAAATGAGGTAATGTGTACATGTATGGATGCTCAATGTATACATCTACAATTTTTTTATCGGGTCAGTGTGTATGGAAAAATAGTTCACCGGTTATGTCGTCGTACATGAACACGAAGATGAGGATATACATGTAATAGTACCATGCCGTTTTGAAAAGATTCGCGGATAAAGGAAGATCTAACAAAGGATAGTGCTTCGTAGCGAATTTTTTATTTTTTCCATTCTGCTATTCGCTTTACCATTTCTCTCGAGCATGAACGTCGTCTTATAATAGAGTGAATGATACGTTAAAAAATACTTGTCATTCATTAAAAAACAAAATAATATGAAGCTGTGCTGTCTAAATAAACACACATGTTTGGAAGTATTAATTTATGGATGCTTTATTTTCTTTAAAAATAAATAGTACAGTAGGAGAATTTAATATTACGTAATGAGTATTTATATACCGTGAAAAGTAAGCTGCAGTGAGCAACGATGTGGATGCTAAATTATCGAATTAATTATAGTGAAAAAATCTCATTTCTTCGCTAATTAGAATAACTTGTACGATCATTTATCGCAATGGTAATTGGTATTTTTATTTAGATAAATCCACTGTTTTGCGAATGTTTTTATTTTATTTATGTTTGTTGATTCTGTGTTGGATATGTTGTAGGTAGTATGAGTAATTAGACTATTTATTCGTTTATTTTCAAGCATTGTTCGTTTGATTAAACAAGTTATGTCGGAAATTTTTCATTTTTATTCATAAATTTTTTCGATAAATTCCTTTCATTTTTAGAGCGATGTTTTTAATATAATCTCTTTAATTGTCTGTGAAGAATGATGTGTTATTAAAGTTATGCTGAAAATATTTTTCAATCACAAAATTGAAGTACATAAAAATTTTGCTCGATAAATTATTATAATGCTTACTACAATTTGTACTTTAATAACCAATTTAACGAAATTTATATTAAAAAAAAATTCCAGTCCTTTGCTTTCAATAAAAATATTCTCCCTAATTGTCAAAGGAAATAATTTTAACTCTTTTGAAGTTTATTACTTTTATTAACTACAATGCAATTTGCCGAATTGTTTGATAAAATTAATTGTTCTCTATTCACAATAAAATAAAGTCAATGGGAAACGAAAAAATTTTTATTAACATTTTCAGGAAGTTTTTTTTTTAATACTTCACCAATTTCATAGACAGAAGTGAAAAATCTTTGAAATTAATAAATAAAATTTTTGTGATTTTGTCATATTTAATTGTAATTTGCAATTGCAAATTAAATTATTTGAAAAGCTAAAATATTCTTTTGATGCACATTTTTGTAATTTCAATTGAAAAAATCAATTGAAATTTACAAATATTGAAGTAAATTATGTGTTAAATATAAAATATAATAAAATTATATAACAACTATGAGAGGAGAAATTAAAACTATATTATGAATTTTAAATGAATAAATTCAAATATTAATTGAACTCAATTTGAGATACAATCATCTGAAATTTATTTCAAATGATCAATTGATTTTGAAAATAATCAATAAAATGATGTGCAATAAAATTAATTTTCAATTTACAGAGAACAAATTAAATTTATACCATAAATTACATCCACAATTACCAAATATTCATCGAAATTTATTTTAAATAAATATTTCTAGAATTTATTTAAAATATTTGAATTGTTAAAAAATAAAATTAAATATATACAAATAATTTATCAAGAAATTGTATCGCTGAAAAAAAAAAATGAAAAATAAGGTACTCAGAGTGTTGAAGAGCTTTTATGGGTTATAATATTTTTCAGCGACGCACTTACAGCATCGACATCTCAAGTCCAGGAGTTTAGTATAATGGACCGCCTCTGCCGGGAATATCCTCTGCAGTAGGAGCACTCTCGAGTCAACGGGTCAATTTGTCACAGCGGATATTAATTTTCCTGTTGGATGCCCGTTAATCGTGCCTCGTGAAATTTCGATGAGGCTCGAATTATGTTTGAATCGCTCACTGTATTAAAATACCCACCCTCTCATATTTTATTTACCCACTCAAATTTAAACTCACTTTTAATAATAATTACTATTACTGTAATTTATGATCATAAAATTTTTAATTACAAATCTGAAAAATGTGTTGCATAAACAATACCAACAAAGAAAGGATTTTTTGGTTGGAAAGACCGGTTCCCCAGACGATGCATTTATTTACTTTCAGAAATCCCTCGAGACACAGTTGAACTCTTACACCACCTACCTCAACCCCTTTCTCATCCAGTCTCTCTATTCTCGAGCTTGCGTTATACTCTGATATACTTGTATAAATACAAATAGAACGAAATCACGTTTTCTCTTTATTTTCCTCTCACACCCTAAAGCTCTGAGACATAAATTTACTCAGTTAACCTGCACTGGGCTTTTGCAAATATCATTAAATATGATAACATATTACACATTTATTCTCAACCCCTTCATTCATCGCTTCGTTAAATAACTCGGGAATCAAAATTAATCTAAACATTTCAAATGTGAGTTTACACTTTCAAAGTTCGCTGATTGCATTTATAATTTTTTAAAAAAATTATTAATTTCTACACTAAAAAAAAAAAAAGGAAAATATTTTCGATTAAAAAAAAATATTTTGAAGAAAATCTTATAAGTTTTTTTGATTCAAGAATTTTTTGTCTTGAATTTTGATTAAGACTAAATTATTTTCATGAGATAAAATCAAACTCTTCATCAAAAAAAATAAAATTCTCTTCAATTGATTTTATTTTTCTTTGTAAATTTTATGTTATTTGTTAAAATAACATTGATTTTATGTTATTTGAAAACAAAAAAAAATTTGTAATAAAAAATTTGTGGTATAATTGCTTAATTATGTGGAATGGTCATTTTTAGATTTAAGTTTCTCTATTTTATTGTTTTATTGCACCTTTGTACTTAGCAGTAAGTATTTTTTCGAAAAGGTTGTAAATAAAGGGATTAAGAAAAATTCCCAAATAACAGATGTTTAGTTAAGATAGTTTAGAAAATATTCGTATGCGTGGGAACGTAAGTATAGATTTGTCTCGTGGCAAAAATGTACATTATAAGTACCGAGAGTGTAAGAACGAAGTATGACTGATGCGGGGGGTGAGAAACCCAGGTAGTAAGTAAAGATCTAATTGTATGGGACTCAAGCAGGCAGTTCCTATTTAACTTCGATGTACGACAGACCTCTGTCTTTTAACTCTGTCAATTTTTCTAATAAATACTCACTTTAAATTAACCGCCCCGTGATACCTTAATAATAACATCTTTAATAAACATTTAGTATCCTATCCAATAAAATCCGATACTACAATTATATAAGTGGCAATTACAATTAATCATATCATAGCTAATTATAGTTTTCTTAGCAAAGTATAATCGACACCTTGTAATCAAAACCAGCACGAAGTTGGAAAATATAAAGTTCAAGTTTGAGTTAAACCCAAGAATTCCGCACCGAGTAAGGATGATGATAAACGCAATAAACATTAAGTAAAGCAAAGTAAATTGAAGGATGTGGAGGCGGGTGTGCTGAGGCTTCAAAAGCGTCAAGTTACACTGTGGGTTTGTGTGTAGACTGTACAGTAATAATACAACAGAGCAAAACGAAACAGTGCACCTAACAGCTTGTTATCCTGAAAACTAAAACATTACAGTTTTAGATAAACATACAAAGCTGGAGTTTTGTGCTCCTGGCAAGCTAACTGATCTGTCTGACGTCCTACATCTTACCTCTAGTTATGTTGAGTCTGAGAAATGTTGGTGGATGTCGTAAAGCCTGGATTTAGTTTCTTTACTGCCCGTAAACTAGGATTTTTCACTCTTGCAAAAACTACATGTTACACTCTCGTGTTCCAGAGTCAACTCTGTACTGATACTGCTTACTTCCCATTTCTGATACCACCACTTGCTACTATTACTAGTATTATTATTATTGCTAATCTCCTGCCCATTTTATTTGCAAAATGCGACAGATTATTATGGTTTTGTCATGACATTTAACTGACATAAATCTTGTAACTTATATAAACGAAGTTTTTTTATATACTTTTATCTTTTATCGTCTCTGTAAATAAATGTCCTAGGTGAAGAAATTTTTAACAATTGTTTCTGGAAAAAAATTACAAGGAATTTTTTGTTTGATACTTTCAATTTTTTGGAATTTCAATAAAAATTAGTTGAAAAATTTTCAGTGGAATTTTTTTTACACACAACTGTTATCATAAATTATGACTTATCATCATTTAAACAAAATACTGACATTAATTACACAAATTTGATTTAAAAAAAAAAATTCTAAGTTAAAAAAATTATTTTGAAAAAATAATTTTTTTTTTTTTAACAAAAATTATTTAAACTTAATTTATATTAATATCAAAAATTTGTGAGGAAAAAAAAATCATTTATTAAAAAAAAAAATTAAATTTCTGGTTGAAAAAATAAACTTATAATAAAAAAAATTTTATTTGTTACAGGCATTAGTTTATCGTGACGGGAATCTAGTGTCAGGATCATTAGAAGCACTGGTACAACATATGGTACCAACAGAAGACTATTACCCGGACCGAGCATATCTCTTTGCGTTTCTGCTGAGTGCGAGGCTCTTCATCAAGCCCCACGAGCTTCTCGGCGAGGTTTGTGCATTATGCGAGCATCAGCAGAACCTCAATGGGGAGGGTGGAAAAGTGAGTGTCCAGCCCCTATTACCAATATCCATTACTCGAGTCGATGACAGCCCTATTACATAAGACACTTGACAATAAATTTAATTTTCCTCTTTATTTGTTGATATTACTCCAGGAGCGGCTGCAGCGTTTTGTACCGCGACTGGTGCAGCTTCTTGCAGAGTGGACCGAGACTTTTCCATACGACTTTCGAGACGAGCGAGTAATGGGTCACGTGAGGTCTATCACCCAGAAAGTCGCTGCTGTGGACGCTGCTGCGCGTCAAGAAGTGTCGGCCCTTCTGCAAAATTTATTGCTACGTCTAACGGCACTTGAACGGTACGAGGAGGGGTTGTCTAGACTTGCCACCGAAGCTGCTACCGAACAACTCACTCAGGTGAGTGTTTTTTTTATACTTAACAATGCTTCGATAAATTTTACTTTCCACAACCGCGAGTACTATTTTTAAAATTATTTACCGAAGATTAAAGTGTTTATTCACCCGCTTGCTATTCAATCTTTTGGTCAGAAGCTTTCATGAATTGTGAAAATAAATTGTGATGTAAAAGCAATCAATTAATGTAACGTTAACGTGAAATGATCGTATTCTGCAACATCAATAGTAATTACAATCACAATCAAAATCACTGTAAATGACTTGGAGATATTTGAAACTCACATCAGTGAACGGTGGTAAACAGTAAACAGTTAATTTGATTATTGTTCATCCATTAGAAGCATCCTAAATTCACTAATAGCTCATTTACAATTGAACTAATGTGATCAACAGAGCCAGCTAGCTAATTACACTTTGATATCATTGTCAGTGCACTTACTCCTATCCTTTGCCATTCCCTTTTCCTGCTCCTATTGGCCTATACATAACAATCAGTGGTAGTTGTTGTTCTGTAGTTGTAGTATCAGCATTACAGGTGATATTTTAAATTACTTGCTGGCTATTAACGCTCCCAAGCATCATCATAATGGCCAATAATCATCAATTCTCATACACCCAAAATTAATTTTCCTTATCACACTCGTGGTTCAATACTCTCCCATCTCCTCCTCCTTCTCCCTCTCGTGTAATATTTCTCTTACTGTTTTCTGTTCACTCCATATAATATTATTATTGAGGCGCGCAGTAGCCTATCGGATCCGGCCCTTGCTACCAAAGCATTGGACCGGGTTCGAATCCGGCGTACACCAATGAATATTTTCAATATTTAAGTGTATTATTCTGCTCAGCCTAAGAAATACAAACGAGTTCCAATTTCAAAAGTTTACCCCCTACCGTACACTGAGAGAAAATTTTATTTAATAGTAATAAAATTTTATTACTATTAAATAAAATTTTCTCTCAGTGTACGGTAGGGGGTAAACTTTTGAAATTGGAACTCGTTTGTATTTCTTAGGCTGAGCAGAATAATACACTTAAATATTGAAAATATTCATTGGTGTACGCCGGATTCGAACCCGGTCCAATGCTTTGGTAGCAAGGGCCGGATCCGATAGGCTACTGCGCGCCTTGTAACTTTTATTTGAATAAATTTTATCAAAATAAATTTATAAAGCCGCAATTATAAAATTCTGTAAAAATTATATTACGTTCTTGATCTTGTGTAATCGATAATAAACGTTTTAAAGAAAATATTTGACATCACATTTTTTGTTATAAGTAATTGATTTATTTAATAAATAAATTTCAATGTCGAGGAGTATAAGCTGAATTAAATATATGTTATAGTTATAAAATTGTACGCCGTAAAATTGTATCTTGTCAACTACTGACATTTTTAAAGATAGAAGCTCATCCCGATGCTACACTTATAAGTAGTACCTTTCACTTGAGTAGCCACATCAATTTTTCATACACTTATATTTGTTATATGTATGTATATATGAAAAATATATCAAAAATGCACGTGGGTACTCAAATGAAAGCTCTTGATGAGAGTAACATCGGAATGAGCTTATATCTTTGAAACTTGTATTGAGACGGAAGTTTTTTTTTAGAAGTTCAGTGGATTAGACTGACATTGGACTTTAAGTATACCTTTGGTAAGAAAAAAGGATTTTTCGATGTCCCACCAGTCAGACTCAATGAAATAAGAATTACAAGAAACTTAAAAAGTAATCGAGGTTTTTGACTGACGGATGTTGTTAATTAGTTATTCTTCTATATTATAAGATAACTTTTACTGTAGTATAAGTTTTAGTCACATAATTATAGCTTATAATTGATGGAATTTCAGAGTGAAATCTCCCACCAGTTACTATGGAATGCCCCTTGTACAACTTTTCAGTTCTATAAACTGCATTATGATAGGTCAAGCCATTTAAAAGTTATAAAAGGTTTACATACATAAACACATACGTACATCAGAAAATCTTCATTACTATAGTCATAATAAATTACTAATATCTTCAAACATGAAGGTCTGATGAGGAATTAATTTTCTAAAATCGGTGTGAAATCACTAATCAAGAGCTTGCATTTGAGTACCCACATGCATTTTCGATATATTTTTCATATATTCATATATGTAATATATATAAATATATGAAAAATTGATGTGGGTACTCAAATGAAAGGTCTTGATGAGTGTAACATCGGGATGAGCTTATATCTTTAAAAATGTCAATAGTTCACGAGATACAAGATCATTTATTAATTATGTATCTAGAGATAGAGCATTGTCAATTGCAGCCTAAATACTTATCATCATAATTGACTATAGATGAGAATGATATTAAACCATGAAAAGGCACAACTTCAGGTCAATACTTTTCCGACGATACCAAATTTAACCATTAAAACCCATTTTATCATATAAATTACACTGGCCACAAAATTTTGCTTATTCTCTCACTAATATTAATTATATAACGATATTGCTGTTATTATTATTTTTACTTTTGTTAATTTTTTTTATTGCTCAACAACTTGACTCTCCCGGTCTACTATAAGAACGAACCGTAATTCGTTGTTTATGTAGTTAAAAAAAAAGTTTTCTCAGTTTTGCAACTCATTACTCTAGACACAATTGTGGTAGCACACGCGAAAGCTTGCTAGCAACTTCTCCTTTCCAACAGCTGCCAGTTGCATAAACCCTCTGTACATATTTCCCTACACATATATTTAATGTGAGAAAAAAAGCTATTTGAAGTTAGTAAGGTCATTCTGCGATGTTTATTGTACTCTTTTATTTTAAAAGTGAGTACTTGCAAGCTAACGAGTTCGAGTAGCTGAATTAATTTTTTTAATTACACTAATATAATCCGCTAATTTATTAAAACTTAACTCCCGCATCTACTCTACTCCAAACCGGCTCAGATTTATGTCATATTTTTACTGCATACTAATTATGTTTAATTTTAGGATTTTCTCAATTTATTCAATCTCATAATCTTTACATATCCTTATTCACAATATTTATATTAGACTCATGATTATTTTTCCAACGGTCTAGTTTTAATTACCTGCATTGTAAAAAAATATCAGAGTTTTTAATCGCTTCAATATTCGTGAATTAAATGAATGAATATTTTTTTAATAATTAATTTAAAACTTATCGAAGTTTTTATTGAAAATAAATTTACTTCTTTTTTTTGATATAGTAAATATAAAACATTATTATTTTTTTTATCTCAAAAAAACTTGACCCAGATTTTGTACAAGGAAGAGCAATTTTTTATTGATAGAAAAAAATAAATTTGAAGTAGAAGAAATGAAATAAATTGCTAATAATATTTTGCTTTTTTATTTTAGTTTTATCGAAGTTATTTATTTGAAATTTAATAAAAAAAAAATTCCTGACCAACATATAAAATAATTTTTACAACAATTTTCCTCTGCGCTAAAAAAATTGAATATTCTTTTCATGATTTTTATTCACAGTAATAAGATTAATTGTTAATATTTTTTCCATAGCTCGAATTTTATTTTCCAACGCGCTGTGAAAGGAATTACTTTATATTTTAAAAAGTTCCAATATTGCAAAATTAAATTACGGAGTACATGTTAAATAGGTTGTACAGAAAAAAAACACCCTTTGTTGCATAAAAAAATTTAATTAACCATCAAAACAAAGGCGGTTAAATTTGAATCTGATAAAAAATTCATCGCGTAACTTTATAAAACAAATTTACTATCATTAATAATTTAATAATTATTTTTTCTTGCTTCTATTTTTATTTATATTATATATTTACAACTATTTTCGCAAGTACTTTTTATAAATAGTAAATAACATTTATGAAATATTTTTCAATATGCATCAAAGCTTAAAAGCTCTCGTTTAACGTCGTCGTCGAGTGAAGCGTGGCTTCATTTCAAGAAAGACTCTTTCCATAAGTCTAAAAGACCCGCATTTATTTATTTTTTTACTTTTTATTTCTCTCATTTTTTTTATATATAAAGATCTCATCCACAGCCATTTTCATCTCTCGATTTCGCACGCTTTTCCGGAATTGCGGCTTTAAATTTTCTCTTATCTACACGCAATTCTATGTTCTCTTTGTATTCCTTCTCAAAAAAAAAAAAAAAATAAATAAAATAAAGGTATGCAAAACAGGTAGATTTTTTTTTACCGTGCGGTGTCTTTCAATTACAAAACACCCTTTTTTTAAACTTATTTTTTTTCTACTGTATTGTTATTTTTATTTATTCATTCTTCAACTTCCGTAATCAAAATTTTTGCGGTTTTACTTTATAATTTAATTAAATATCGACAATTTTTAATAAAATTAACCGAGCACTTATAACCTATGATGTGGCTTATAAACTCAATAAACTAACATCGTGTTAATTACATTTATAATTATTTATCATTATTAACTTCATTTAGTAACATAAAAGTCTTATTATACGCTACAAAATATAATTAATGTAACATAATTACATATATAAAAAAAAAGTAATAAAATTGTTTCTTCTTACAGTAGTACGTGTAATATAAGTTACCATTTGTTAAAACTAGATGGCTCTGCTCGAACAAGAACAAAGTCCAGGCGCCATTTTGTTTTACTTAGATTTCTTCCTATAAATTTAATCTATTGAAATAAATTTTCACATTTTTTTTTATTTCCACATTTTAATAAATTTTTTTTATATAATTACAAAATAGAATTAATGAGTATAAACATAAAATAAATAATAGCTTTTTTTAAAACAATTTTAAAATCCTATTCTGTCAAATTTTTGATATACGGAGATGCAAATTCAAGAATTTTGAATTTTTGAAATAAAATCGAGCTTGTATTATTTCTTGAACTACTTCCTTACTAAATAGTAATGAATTTATTAAAAGTAATAAATTTTTTTTATAGTTCTGAGTGCTTATAATACTTTTCATTTCTTTTATTTATAAAAATTTAAAATCACAAATAGACATATATTGAACGTATAATTAGCACATGACACCGCCAGGTCTTTTGAAATACAAAACATCAAATTAGTAACTTGCAGATAAATCTAGACGGTGTAAGAATGATACGGACTTGGATAAATGCGGCTATCATTAAATATAAGATCAGTGAAGACATGAAACGAAAGTACTCACACTTAGTCTTGTAGAAGATGCACTTTGGAGAGACACACGTTACTTTTTCCGTGGTGATCACAAAAATGAAAGACAAGAAAATGAAAAGAGACGTAAGATGAAAGGACATATAAGATAAAAAAAAATAGAGGAAAGAGACCGTATAGAAGTGCATTTCATCTTAAGATGGGCATTTGAGAGAAGAAAACTATTCCGCTTGGCGAAAAAAGTTTTCTGTCTTCTTCTCTGCAGTATAGCAGTACAGTAGTTAGCTTGTTTGTATATATGTATACAAAGTTTTGTTCTTCTTACTTTTATTGTCTTGCATTGTTCATGATCTTATGCTCAATCTCGTGGACATGAATAATATATTTCGCTATAAAACTATCTCGCTCAGGACTTTATTGTTATCTTAATGGAAATCTAAATATAGACAGAAATTTACTAGTATATTTTGGTAAATTGTGTACAAAACTCAGATAATTCATGTTTATTTTAGTCGTTAAATGGTTTTCTCAACCCGTAATTACAGCTCCGTCTTATTGTAGTAGATCCATTTTTCATGATGTTAAATTTTAAATATTGTACGTAGAATAGGAAGAAAAAATAAAAGTGTAAAAGCAAAAGAATAAGTCACAGTACGTGTCAAAGAGAAACGTTCCACTTCACTCGTCTTTTACTCGAGGAAACCACTCAGTTGGTTCTGTTTGAACGGTTCCACCGCGGCACCAATATCATTTTTAAATCGAATGGAATAAGACGACTGAGAAAAAGAAAAAATGAGCTAAAAAATATAGATGGATTGCCATAAAAGTAAAAGGCAAGCGTCGTGTACTCCTCTTTACTTCTCACATTGTATCTTTGCTGAGTGAGTCGTCTTCGAGTATCGTTTTTTGTCCTTCTACTTCTTTGACACGCCCTCTACACTATACTCTTGTGCTTTACTACAAAGTAGTAATGATTCTTCAATCACTCAATTCACCCATGTACTAAAGTACTGTTCTATTGTCATAACTGAACTCACATTTTTCTTATTTTTTTTTGTTACACTTTCTTCAAATAAAACTCAATGTAATTCTCTACTCACTGCAAACTCAACTCACTGACATTTTTTTAGTCTCTTCAAATAGCAGTCGCGTTTTAAAAAAAATTATATGTCATTTATTTAAAGGGAATTTCCAAAAATTGTTATCTCTAGCGCTAGTTATGATGTTCTAGAGCGAACAAAAAATTTTATGGTCGATCCGTTTTTTAATAATTAATTTTATATAAAATTATAATCTATATTATTAGGAGAATAATAAAAATTTTTTCTCCAGTATAGTAATATGATAAAATCGGTTTTTTTAGTGAAATTTAATGTCATTGCAAAGGTCTTAACTTGAATTTGTACCTTTTCAAAGTTTTATATCATTCTTACTAAAAGTCAATTTATTATGATAAGTATTTAGGCTGCATTAAAAAATGCTCTTTAGATACATAATTAAAAAATGACCTTGTATCTTGTGAACTATTAACACTTTTAAAGATATAAGCTCATCTCGATGTTATACTCATCAAGACCTTTCATTTGAGTACCCACATCAATTTTTCATATATTTTATATATTTATATATATGAATATATGAAAAATATATCAAAATTCATGTGGACACTCAAATAAAAGCTCTTGATGAGTGTAACATCGGGATGAGCTTATATCTTAAAAAATGTCAATAATTAAGAACTGACTTTGTTATCTTGTCAACTAATGGCATTTTTAAATGATGTGGGTACTTAAATGAAAGGTCTTGATGAGTGTGACACAGGGATGAGCTTATATCTTTGAAAATGTCAATAGTTCACGAGATACAAGGTCATTTCTTAATTATGTATCTAGAGATAGAGCATTTTCGAATGAAATTTTTAAAGATATAAGCTCATCTCTATGTTACACTCATCAAGACCTTTCATTTGAGTATCCACATCAATTTTTCATATATTTATATATATTACATATATGTATATATGAAAAATATATGAAAATGCATGTGGGTACTCAAATGAAAGCTCTTGATGTGTGTAACATCGGGATGAGCTTATATTTTTAAAAACGTCAATAGTTAAGAAAGTATAGTGCAATTTAACAAAAGTCATTATTTAATAAAGCTAAAATTTTAAACTCTCAAAATTTACAATTGATAATTCTTGAGTTCTAAACACTTGATCAAAATTTCTAGTATTAAAAAAATTAAGACTTTATTCTTCGACGGGGTTATATATTTGATAAGTCAATTTGATTCATAACTGGACTAATATTTACCCTACTTTTTATTCCAGGTTGATGTAACAGAACTATGTCCATCAGCAACAGTGCTGGCACAACAATTGACCCACGTCGAGCTGGAGAGACTCTCGTACATCGGACCCGAAGAGTTTGTACAAGCATTTGCCAAGGTGAGTTCATCTAACACCCACCGCCCACTTTTGTGTTTAGCTCGAATGGATACTACAGATACTAGAGAGACAACTCCACTCTCCGGAGTATACACTACAACAGAGTAATAGAGAAATAGAGCGCAGTGTGTTGTTACAAGGGTAAACAAACGATACAATAACAACACAAAGACTGAACGACGATGACAATGACAATGACGACTACAACTACTACACCCAGTTCGGAAACAATGTCGTTACAATTAATCAGTCAGTGTATTGCTCCAGCAATTGAATCCTCTTTATTTATGCTACAGGAGTCGCCCCATCTAGAGACCTCCTTCAAAGACATGAAGAAGACGAGGAATTTGGAGTCGTACGTTCAGTGGTTCAACAGGCTGAGTTACTTTGTCGCCACCGAAGTTTGCAAAGTAATCAAATAAAATAACTTTTCTTATTAAATTATTAACTTACTTTATTTTTTTTCACTCTTGTTTTGTTTTATTTTTATATTTATTTTTTCTTTATTAACTTTTGTTTATTTTTTTTATTCAAAAGCACGCTAAGAAGAAACAGCGAGTCCGCGTCGTGGAATATTGGATCGAAACGGCCAGGGAATGCTTCAACATAGGAAACTTTAATTCCTTAATGGCCATTATTGCTGGATTAAACATGTCGCCTATTTCACGGCTAAAGAAAACTGTAAGTAATTAATTTTCCTTTTTCTTGATTGTTTTTTGTTGCTTTGTTTCGTTTACAATAAGCGGATGTTGTTGTAGACCGGTTTCATTTAATTAGGAACAAAGACGAACTTTTAAAATGCTCCGCCAGAAAGAGAGAAACTCATCAAGATGGCTTAGAAATAATTAAAGAGGAATTGATGATAAACAACTCTTGTAAAGAGCCAGGAGTGTAAAAGTCATTGAAATTAATTTGTAATTTGTAATTTATCAACCAAAGGTGACGAGAATCTCAGAGAACAGCGAAACAGAAATCAGTCTGAGAAACTTTTAATTATGTTTAAGTTTCGGTAACTATCTCTGGGATTTAATCGGTACGGTGGCATTAAACGTAGGTGGATTCAAGTTTACCAGCCAGTATCCACTCCACGAACGGTGGAAAACATCCTGGACGTTGTTCAAAGTTCATTTGGGTGGTTGACTTGATTTACGGCTCGGCGCGACGGAAATAATTGCAAAAACGTTGTTACCAACATTCGTTCGGGGTAAATTCAAACCTCGTAATTTTCGTTAATGGAAATTTACCACCGGTAGTACCTACGCCGCTTATCGCGACTACTTCCGTCGGATTTTATTCACATTTTCCCGGATATGTACAGATTCTATGTATGTATGTATGTATGGACAGATTTATGCCCCCTTTTTTGGACCCCGCGAAGTGCGAGTACAATATACTATCGAAAGCCTTAAATCATTAGTAAAAAGTTTTTACTTTTTTTGTATTGTACTGTTTTTTTTTCTTTTTTTTTAAGTAAATATAAAGTATCAAATATCATGTAATTCGAAAATGCTGCCGCTGCAAAAATAACTACGTAAGAGATAAAATTTTATTTTTATTACCACCAGAAGTACCCTCACGTTTTCTATTTCGCGCTTAAATATTATTGTAGAGAATAAAAATTTTGCTAAGCTGACAAAATGAAGGAAAAATAAGTTTATTGTACACTGTAAAATAAATTTTATTTAGAGTTTAGATATTTATTTAAACACAAAAATTTTATTATACGTCAAAAATAATATAAAATTTAATGGTTTGTTGAGAAATAAATATTAAATAGTTTAACAAATAATTAATTTTGACAAATATGTATAAAATGAGAGATTTAAGAAATTAATCTATATTATTAAGAAGATAAGAAAAATTTTGTGTCCAGGATAGTCATATGATAAAATCAGTTTTTTTTAATAAAATTTATCGTATTTATTTTATCTTGTGAACTATTGACATTTTTAAAGATATAAGCTCATCCCGATGTTACACTCATCAAGACCTTTCATCTGAATACCCACATCAAGTTTTCATATATTTATATATATTATATATATATATATATATAT